TGTCACAGCCACCCACCCGCTGTGCTGGCCTGGGCCACTGACCCCTGGTTCCCAGCGCCCCCAGTCCAGCGGGGACCCCAGGACGTGGGAAAGGTGTAGCTCCAGGCAAACCTCCGCGGGGCCTGGGGGACCCCTCACCCGCACCCCTCACCCGCCCCCTCACCTGGCCTTCAGCACTTCCTGCACCTTCTGCTCCAGCTCGATCCGCCGCTGCCGCTCGCGGTCCAGCTCCTGCCGCAGCATCTCGGAGTTGGTTTCCTCCCGCAGCTTCCGGAGCTCCTCCTCTGTGGGGAGGGAAGCGCTGGTGAGCTCCGCCCGGCCACTGCCTCCGGCTCATGGTGCCAGGTGACCCGTCTGCGGGCACTCAGAGCTCCTCGCTGCCTGACAGGGACACAGCGGTGACCTCACGTGGACAAAGGGACTCGGCAAAGGCGATGACGTTAAGGATCTCGAGACAGGAGAGTATCCTGGATTCTCCGGATCACGTGAATTTGTAAGAGGGAGGAGGGTCAGAGGTCAGAGAGAGCCTGGAAGATGCCCCTGCTGACTCTGAGTCGGAAGGAGGGGGCAGGAGCCAAGGAATGCAGCTCCTCCCGAAGCTGGAAAAGTCAGGAATGAGCTCGCCCACAAGCATCTGAAAGGCACGCAGCTACTGTGAGGGCAGGACCACGCTCGCCACGCCGGGGTCACTGCACAGGCCGAGGCTGAGCTAAGTCCTGTTCCTACCCGACAGCCATCAGCTGAGAGTGGCCTGTGGTGGCCACGGTCCAGGCAATAATCACAGTCACCCCAATAGTGCGCGGGTGACGGTCACAGACCACCCACATAGTGCGCAGGTGACGGTCACAGACCACCCACATAGTGCGCAGGTGACGGTCACAGACCACCCACATAGTGCGCAGGTGACGGTCACAGACCACCCACACATAGTGCAGGTGACGGTCACAGACCACCCACATAGTGCGCAGGTGATGGTTACAGACCACCCACATAGTGTACAGGTGACAGTCACAGACCACCCAGATAGTGTGCAGGTGACGGTCACAGACCACCCAGATAGTGTGCAGGTGACAGTCACAGACCACCCACATAGTGTGCAGGTGATGGTCACAGACCACCCATATAGTGTGCAGGTGATGGTCACAGACCACCCATATAGTGCACAGGTGACAGTCACAGTCACCTGGGTATCGAGGTTGGCAGGCTGAGGCCTTGCAAACAGAAATTCCCACAGGAAAAGCCACATTTGCTCGTCCTGAAAGGCATTCCTGAGACCCAGAAACATGACCAGTTTCACCGAATTCAGGTGACGAGGGCCCCCAGTGAGAGCCAGGACTTCGCCTCGAGGTCTGACCAGTGACCAGGGCTGCAGGCTGGCCTCCACTGCCCCTCACTGAGGTCAGTGACACCCTCGTTGGCCTGGGCAGGACAGCCAGATGCTCAGAGTATGTAGCAACTTCTCTTCCTGGCCTGGCCACCTCACCAGACCTGGGGACACAGGGCCACGCCCAAGACCCTGACCTACAGCTCCAGGCCCTGACCTATAGCCCCAGGCCCTGACCTACAGCCCAGGCCCCGGCACGGGCCAGTTTGCAGCAGCCGCTGTGCCTGAATGCAGGACCCTGTCTGACGGGCACAGACCGGGGCCAGACCAGAGAGGAGAGGCCTGCGGTCAGGAGACGCCAGCCTGGGCGGGTGCCCCGGGAGAAGGGAGGCACCTGGACATCCCTACCCCCCGCCCCCCATCTGTGGAGCCCGTGACTGGCTGGGTTTCGTCACTATCCAAGGGAAAGTGTTTAGATCTGCTGAGAGCCAGCCGTTCCCTCGGTCAATATTTGGAGTGCTCCATCCTCCTGTCCCCGCCTGCTGGGCTCGGCTGCTCCAGAAACCTGGGCCCAGGCCCCCCCAGCGCCCTGCCGCGAGGAACAGGTCCTCCCGAACAGGCCCCGGGGACGCCCCCCCTCCCACGGGAAGCCGTCTGAAGGTCACGCAGCCCCACGCCTCCTCCTTCCAGACACGGGCCCCTCAGTCCTGCCGGCATCCCTGACAGGGAACCACGCTTTCCCGAACACGGCTGCCCCTGAACTCCCTCCCCTGGTCCCTCATCAGAGAGGTCAACGCTCAGCCAAGTTCACCACGTGGCAGCCGGCGGCCAGGCCGGCCGAGGGCTGGATGTGAACACGTGGACAGCGATCCCAGCCCGACCCGGGGAAGGCGCTGCGCCT